ACTGGTTTTGCACTCTATCTGCCATATGCCTTGTGCTTTATATATATATTTTTTACATTTTACCTTATTTGTATAGTTGAATTTTGTATTTAATCTGTATCTATCTGTATTTATGTTCTACTGTAGTGTTATCTATATGCATCAAGGGTCTGAGAGTAACAGCATATGGCAGGATTATCCACCTGAACAATTTATCGGCTTTGCTCTGTTCATTGCATTAGGAATTAAAAATGTAAATGCTTAGTCACAATGGGTAAACAGATTATAGACTGCTTGTTTTATCCTGGGATTTATGACTAATCGATAAAATCGATAACGAAATAACAATTTCCTAACTGATTACTTGGATTTGCGCACAGAGAAACAGTGTCAGTCACTTCACAATAGTGAAAATGCACTTCTATGAAAATTAATCAAATATATAATTGATGGATGAATTAATTAATAAACGGCATTATTTAGTTGTTGCCCTACTAAAATATACTATTATTACAAAAAAAAGTACTGTGAAAGTAAGTCTGATAATATGCAAAATGAAAACAAATGTGTTCAACCGTGTTTAAAATGAGAACAGGTCATATTTGAGCTGTTAACTGTCCAGTGTTTGTTGGTGAGGACATAAGCAGTTTAACGTCTCAAAGCTCCCTAATATGTGACCCTGAACCACAAAACAAGTCATAAGTTGCATGGGTATATTTGTAGCAATATCCAACAATACATTGTATGGGTCAAAATTATCGATTTTTAGGAAGATCATGTTCCATGAAGATATTTTGTAAATTTCCTACCGCAAATATATCAAAACTTATTTTTTGATTAGTAATATGCATTTCTAGAACTTAATTTGGACAACTTTAAAGGCAATTTTCGGCACCCTCAGATTCTAGATTTTCCAAATAGTTGTATCTCGGCCAAATATTGTCCTTTCCTAACAAACCATACATTACATCAATGGAAAGCTTATTTATTCAGCTTTCAGATGATGTATAAATCTCAGTTTCAAAAAGTTGACCCTTATGACTGGTTTTGTGGTCCAGGGTTACATATATTGAAACATCATATAAGCAGGCATACCTGAATCTGTCCTTTGGCCATGATGCGATCCATGTTCTCCCCATCATCCCTGCACTGTTTGACCTTACTGTAGCACAGCAGTCTGAGGGTCTGAGAGCCCTCTAACTCGATCTCAAACTCCTGCGAGAAGAGAGTCCAACTTCCATTTAATCGCATTGTTCAACTAGCATTATAAATGTCTTTTCATATTTAAAGCTGCAGGGTGTAATTTGAGCTCATCTAGTGGGATCAAATGTTATTGTAGCATAAGGATTAATTACTCTATCTGTCTTTCTAATGCTCTAGGTTTCTCTAAATGTTTCTGAAGGCAACTACGTGCTGCAGTTCTGACCTCATTCCAGTTTGGCTCTGTGGTGTCTCTATACACACGAGTTTTTGCTTTGTTCACGAAATAGCCGAATGAGTCCACCTCCAATGTACAGTACAGATCTGGAGGGAGAGATAAGAGACAACAAGCCGGTTACATAAAACCATGATCAAATGTTACATTTTTTTAAACATGAATCAGAAATTGAAAGTTCTTTTCCCACATAGTATTAGAGGTAAACGTATTAGGGGATGGGCAGTATGACCAAAATCCCAATAAATATTACAGTAATTTTTAGATTTTTACTATTTTTATGTATATTTTAATATACATTTTCAAATATTTTCTTTTTATTTGATATGCTTAATTTTTGTGAATAATTTACTGAATTAAATATTTTAGAAATAAAATGTAAAAAAATTATAAGATATAAAAAATAAAATTATTGAAATGAATAAGTAATCAAAAGCAGCTGTATAACTCTTCAGTTTTCACTTTTCAATCTGAAACATTGAAAATAACACTATAAAATGGTTATTTATTGACATTATAATTCAAAAATGTGGGGTTGGTAAAATGTTTGAATGTTTTTAATAGAAGTCTCTCATCAAGACTGCATTTATTTGATCAAAATACAGTAAAACAGTAATATTGTGAAATATGAATAGTCAAAATCTAGTTTTCTATTTGTATATATTTTAAAATGTACTTTATTCTTGTGATGGCAGAGCTGAATTTTCAGCAGCCATTACTTCAGTCTTCAGTGTCACATGATCTTTCAGAAATCATGCTAATATACTGATTTGGTGCTCAATACATTTTCTTATTATTATCAATGTTAAAAACAGTTGTGCTGCCTTATACTTTTGTGGAAAACATAATACATATTTTCCAGGATTCTTTGATGAATATAAAAGCTCAAAAGAACAGCATTTATAATGTGAAGAGCTTTTGGCTCTTATTACTTATCTTATTATTGTCACCATGGTATATACAGTAAGGAAGTTGCTATTGAGGATAAAGCCTACAAGAAAGTCGAAGCAATGAATGAGCGAGAACAAAGAAAGGCATAAATTAGTGATGGAGAGTTAGCTTTAAGAAGGAACGCAGTGTTCCCTGTTAATCCACCCGTCCCACAGCTGCTCATAGAGAGAACTCTGCCCAACAACAGCAGGGAGCATGTCAGGTGTTTTCATGCATGTGCACACATATTAGGGAGGCATTCAATAATTTAATGATTACTGTGAGCTGGATTTCATTCCATCTAATTGTAAGTGCTGAAAAAACACACTAAACTAGGTGAGACATCCCATGCCAGACAACTTACTCAAGCTCTGTTTCAGCCCTGTTGCAGAATGAACAATCACATTTAGAAAGCCATACAGCCCCATGGATTCATCATCTAATGGGAGAAAAACAACCAAATTGTGACAAATTTCCAATACAGTAGAAAGACATAAAATACAATATAGATCTTAATAAAACAAAACAAAAAGGCACTCACCTTCTTTATTGATTGTCAGAGGAACATTGTGAACTGTCTGTAGCTTCACGCAGGAGTTAGTGAGCATCTGCAACTCCAGGGAAGTCAAAGAAAAACTCTTGAAACCTGTGAGAAAAGAACATACAGAAACCAAGAGAGACTCACTCAGTGAAGTCACCAATATCTGCATTTAACCAATAAGTGACTGAAGGAAAAGAGCAGTTTACAGAGTCCTGCTGTGATTTTCTTGGAAGGTATGAAGGTTTCTGTGAGGACCAGCAATGCTTACACTTTTTCTGCTGTTCACGAATGATCTCCCTCCATTCTTCTCGCTCGTAATCAGATGAAATCAGGAATGTATAGCCCTGGAATACACAAATAAAACACAGGAAATAAGAACGTTTGGGAATGTTTTTTTTAAATAGCCAATATTAAACTTACAATGTTAATATGTTAACATTTTTTGACAATGTAGTATAGTTAATACAATTTTAGCATTTGCTGTTTATCAGTTATCGTCCATAACATGAAAACAGAAAGAAAGAAGATTACATTACAGTGAGCAAATTATGTCAGAATTTTTTCGGGTCGTGATTGCAGATATCTGAAAAAATGCAGTTTTAGGAAATTGTCTGGTATTGATTCACCTTGCCATTCCTGTTACTGACTCTGAAGGCCATGCATGGAGATATGAGCAGCAGCAGCGATTCCTGTTCACACAGTTTCTTCCTGAGACGATCAAGGACTTTACCTCTTTTACAAACTCTCTGAACACATGAGAGAATGAGAGGAAGGAGGTGAGAAACAATTAACACAAAGCTGAGTGTTTACTGAAGAAAAGCCTTTCTGATGAATATTTAATCCACTTATCTACCTTTTCTCTCTGAATCTCGTTCTTGATCTGGGAGATCTTGACCTTCATAGCATCTATCTCCTCCTCTGGTATCTGGGAGACCGGTGAAGACTCAGATTCATCGATGGTCTGAAAGGTGACGTCAGCTAGTGGGATATACCACTTACAGTCATACTGCTGCCCCTTCCTGAACACAGGAAGAGACAGAAACCAGGGGTCACAATTATGAGAAAGAAAGAAAAAACAACTTTGAAATGAGGAATGTTTCTACAGGTGAAAAAAAGTTTAATATAGATTGACTTGCCCTCCGGTTTGTTTCTTCAATTTGGCACAAAGCAGCAGGTCGGTAAAGAGGAAGACATGCCGAAGTTTTCGTGCTCCTTCTACTAACTCCACCATAAACTGGTCTCTGAGAAGCTGTCGATTCTTTAAAGACATTTAAATACATGTAAATCTAACAGTTTTTATATTTACATTTGAATGTAATGCACATCTATAACACTATACTTTGTGTTACATTACCTTGACATTAAATTACAGAAAACTACTTAAAGCTGTTGCGTGAGTGTTTTTAATACAAGGGTGTGATGACAAATTTGACATCTTTTCTGTTCTGACCAACACAAATAATCGCTTATATTTTTTCCTCATTTGGAAAGTTATAAATTGTTGTCGTGGATTTTTTCACAAATATATATATGTTGTAGTTTGACACCTTCTGCTTCTGTGAACTCTGTGAATGTGAAAAGGGACCATCATAATTTTTGGAAACCAAAAACACACTTAGTTTCAACTGTTTACCAATAGGGGGCGTTGTTGTATTATTTACTGCCCCATGAATCAGTGGCAGTCACTATTTTGCCTGAGGCATGGGGTCGTTTAAAGTAGGCGAGGAGGAAAACAGCCAATGAGAGGCTCAGACTCATTCACTCAGATGGAGGCATGACACACTTAAGAAATTGCTATTGTGAGTGAGTCACGGGAGCTATTTTCATGATAATGATGGCAGCCTGAGGGGGTTTCAACCTCGGACAAGCGCGGCTAGATAGGATAAAAAAAGTGTGCTGGGTGAGATGATTCACAAAAGGCAGATATGATGGTAATTACCTACTGTAAATCAGATTAGAGGAAAAATGTAACCTTAAATGGACTGAAAAACAATATATTCCACTAATAAAAAAAAAAAAAACGTAATTTTGTCCTTAAAATAGCAAAGCAATATCAAATTGAAAAGGTTCTGTACAAGATGTTCCCAAAGATGTCCATATCAGGTCATTCTTTACAACTGGGTGTGCATGTGCACTCTTGAGTGACCGAATCTTCCCCTAATTGAAGGGTGTGTGACATATGTGAAAGACATCTGCTCTTTTCATGGCCTGAATGTCTGTGTGTGTGTTGATGCATTCAAAACACAGGCTCTGACCTGTGACCCTAGCTTCAGAATGTGTGTGTTTATCCCTTATGTCTAAACTTGCATTTTTTTTCTCCCAAAGTACAGTACACCAGGATTTGGCCAACATGATATATGGGTGCAGTATTGACTTTGGCCGCATTTAGAGACATCTGCTAAAACAGCCTAAGATGAGAAGCAACACATGGCCATGAACTGGAAATCCATAATTTCTATGACAATAATTACACAGGACATGGACTAAGATGCCCTGACAAATGATAATGCAGGTGAAGTACAATTATTTTCTTTTTGAACAGGCATTGGTCAGACCTCTAAATGAAAATCTAAATTTGCTATGAAATATATTTTCAATATTATTCTATTATTATGTTTTTGGTGATATATATTCTGTTTTTGGTGATGTTTTTCATTAAATCATTATATTAGAATTGGAATATTTATACTTTTAGGATGCTTTAAGCTTGAAAGCTTCTGTTTTCATACATTAAAATGGGCAAATGGACCACCACAGTCTTTAAAATTTCTCCTTTCGTGATCCATAAAAAATATGGATTTTTATACTTCTTTGATACAAAATTGTTTGTTGGATTCCAATTGAAAAACAAAGAGATATTTTAGGTCTCGTGTGCCTGGCAAAGATCCACAGTTGATGTCGGAAATTTTTTTTTTTGATGAATACTTTCTTGCAGGACTGTATAATGATGTTTTATCATCAGTTCCTGCAAAGTGATAAAAATAAAAAATTCTTAATTTAAGTACAAATCTTTACTGGAATCATGATTAAACTGAGCTGTACTGTTCCCCAGCTTATGTCAGACATCGCTTTAATCAATCCAATAATAAATGATCTCTATCTTTCAATTGTATCTGTATTTTCTGCAATAAAAATGCCTGGCATGTCCACAAGCCTACAATCAGAGAGCCACTTCCCACACAGTTTTCCAGTAATCTGCGAGGAAGTCTAGTGCCAGGTCAACTGACTCAGTTCAGAGGGGTTGGGAGACTGTGCGAATACGTGTTTGTGTTCATTCTGAAGCTCGGAAGGGTGTTGAGACACTTCTCATTTCACAAAAACGGCTTTTGATAAAGGAGGAAGGGGAACAGGAAGGCGGGAGATGATTATATTATTGATGAGACACTTGTAGCGTTATGCAACCGGAGCATACTGATGAATATTTGTACACTTGTCGCAAAAATATTACTAAGAGTTACAGTACAAGAGTTTATCAGCAAGGGTTTTTCTTCTGGCCTGGACCCCTTGAACTCATACACATCTTCTTAATTATTTTCAAAAAGATTTTTAAATATATTTTTCAATGTAAACAATATTTTTTTTTACATAAATGATATACATAAATATCATTCATTTTTTGAGGAGTCGCACCACATAACTTTTTAAAGCCTGAACAAACCTTGTTTTGTCATAAAAAGACACCATGATATTTTGTCTTCAGAGTTGTTCATCTTTCATGTTTTTTTTATATTTATCATATTTTATCAGTCTTATAGGGATAGTTCACCCAAAAATAAAAATTCTGTCATTAATCATGTCGTTCCAAACCCGTAAGACCTTTGTTTATCTTCAGAACACAAATGAAGATATTTTTGATAAAATCCGAGAGCTTTCTAACCCTGCATTGACAGCAATGCAACTACCATGTTCAAGACCCAGAAAGGAAATGCTAATGCACGACACCTGCACCACTCACCGGTCTCGAGTCTCACGGAGGAGCTCCGGAAGGATAAAAGGAGGAGTGACGACAGTGTTGGAGGAGAGAGGACCAGGCCTGGACCTCTCTTGTCTTTCACTATCGTCACTCCTCCTTTTATCCTTCCGGAGAACCTCCGTGAGACTCGAGACCGGTGAGTGGTGCAGGTGTCACTCATTATCAATTACTCCACCGGCCTCACTCCGTTCCCACGGCTCTCTGCCCCACCCCCTCTCGTCACAATCATCATAGAGGATTGTATTAACAATAATAGAGAAAAATGTCAGGTCATGGACATACAGTCTGCTCTGTCACTGGGCAGCACTGACCTCTCCTTTCTTCACTGTCATAGACTGACGGCGGGGCGTGATCTCCTCATTAATGCTGGAGAGGAAGTTCTGGGAAATGCGGAGGGCATCCTGCAGGAGGGGGTGATCTGGATGACTGGATGGGGTGTGCTTCAACAGGTCCTGAAACACACAGACTTGTCAAATATTGCAAAACACTCAATTCACTGAATGTGTAAATAAACACAGCCCAAGCTCATCCAAATAAAACATGAGCATTGTTACACCACCAACCTGTAAACATTCTCATGTGAGAAAAATTAATGATTAAGTAAGATTATGTTCTTTTAGTTTTACTCACGTGGAGGACGAGGGTACTGCGAGTGACTCGATCCACTGGTTTATACAGCAGCGCTGCGAACGAATAAGGCAAAAGAGTGATCAGAATACTAAGTGGTGTAAAAGGACAGTAAATGTGGAAAAACGACTTACTTTCCAGAGAGTTCTTGTCATTCTGATCTTTACCCTCTTTAGCGCTCCTGACTTTCAGATTCTGTAGGTAAAACAGTAAACAAATACACAAATTTACAAGGAGGCAAAGATATCAGGCTTTGTTTTGACAGTATAATGTAAGTGCCCTTAAAACTGACCTCTGAAATCTCTGCAAACTGAGAATTGGCTTGACAACACTTTTCGGCTGTTTCCACAGCAACCTTATAGTTGTCCACAAAAGCCCTGTACACGCCGAGCTGGCTGGCCTGTGTGGGAAGATAAAACAACAGGAGAGAGTGAGAGAGAAGGAGCTTTAAAGATAAAAGTCAGTGCTAGAGGCGGATTACTCATGCATGTTACATTGACTTAATTCTGCTTATTAAGGTAGAGCAGGCAGTTTTTCGTGGCCTGTTTTGGCATGGTTGACATGCTTCTGATATTCAAAGACAAGCAAATACCAGCCTGACTTTGCATAAAGACAACAGCACTCAACAAAGCAGACAAATTATCACAGTGACGTAATGGGTCAATCTTAAATGAATAGTTTAGCCCAAAATACATTTTTGCTGAAAATGTACTCATCTATAGGCCATCCAAGATTTTCTTCATCAAAACAGATTTGGAGAAATTTAGCATTATATCACTTGCATCCTCTGCAGTGAATGGGTGCCGTCAGAATGAGAGTCACAACACGACTCCAGCCCATCAATTAACATCTTGTGAAATGAAAAGCTGTGCTTGTAAGAAAGAAATCCAACATTGAGGTGTTTTAACTTTAAACCTGCAAGTCCACATAACACTTCCTTCAGTTTGAAAGTTCTTCTCTCGCATGAAAATCCACTGACATATTTATTTACAACCGTTTTAAACGGTTTTCACTTTAAACGGTGCTTGATCTGTTGATCCGTTTCTTTCCTGATTTTTCAGAATTCAATATAATGCAATATAATGGACTCATTTGAAGTTAAAAACATATTATAGATTTATTTCTTACAAACACACAGCTTTTCTCTTCACAACACATTAACTGATGCACTGGAGTCATGTGGATTACTTGTGGATTATTGTGATGTTTTTATCAGCTGTTTGGACTCTCATTCTGATGGCACCCATTCACAACATTGTTGACCAAGTGATGTAATGCTAAATTTCTCCAAATCTGTTTTGATGAAGAAACAAACACATCTAAATCTTGGCCTAAGGGTGAGTACATTTTCAGCAGATTTTCATGTTTGGTTGAACTATTCCTTTAAACTATCAAAATTCATAATAAAAATATAAATGATTACATGATTGAACCTATTATAATCTAAGCAAATAGTGATATTATAATGAACCATTTTGAATATTTACTGTGCATTATAAATTCTTCAAAATTTTCAACCGTCCCACAGCTGTGCCATTAATTCCACAACCTCAAACTAAGTTTTTTGCAAAGTCTGTATGTGTTCCATGTAATATCTGAAGAAAATAAAGAAAATCAAGGCAAATATCACTTACAAAACAAAAATGAAAAGAACATATAGTAATTTCCTTCACACACACACTTTTTTCCAGAGTGTGTCTAAAAAGTCAATTTTTAGAGGGTGAATGCATACTGAAACAAAAAAGAAATGATTTGGTGTAAACGAAGCCAAAATGTCGCTGTGAATGAGCATTTGTGTCATGAAGAAAAACACCATTCAAAAGACAACAACTGTGAAATGGGCACAGATAACAAGCATTTTCCATGGCAACATCTTGTGTGCTGCCAACACTGGGGTAAATAAGAGAAGGACTTGTGATGGGGCTTGTCATGAGACAGAGAGGTTAAGCACTTCCTTCAACACAGCCATTATACTGCAACTGAGGAAACTTGTGAGCGATCCAGAATATGAGCATCATTACCCTGAGATCAGAAAAAAGACGGATTACATCGTGCTGTTAACTCCGCTCACTGATAAAAGATGAATACTCATTAAAGAGTGAAAAGAACCATTAAAAACCATACCACTTTCTAAAGACTTTCCTATAGTGAAGGGCTCTGAGGACACATCTTTAGCTTCATCTACAGCTATATTTTGAGTTGTGAATGTAAGTTTGCAGTTTGTTTTGAAAGTAATAAAATAGAAAATATTGTCAGGAAACATCTTTTGATTGAGTTGTACTTGCAGGGTGCATGTAAAAAATTACTCTTATGAGCTGGTTAATTTTAGTGAATCAAAAATATATTGCATGACCACTGTATTCTGATTCACAAACAAATGACTCTTATGAAGCAGTTCATTTACAGTGAGGGGGTGAAAAACTTACAGCTTGACAATTGTATTCCAATTCACGAACAAATGACTCTTATGGGCAAGTTCATTTTAATGAGTCAAAAACATACCGCATGACCAGTGTATCCTGAATCATGAAAAAAAATGACTCTTAGAAGCTGTTTTTATTCATAACCTGTTCAAAAAGATTGAATCAGTCTGACAAATCCTTCACTAATAAACCAACATCTGAATTGCCTACTGCAAGTTATCATTATTATCATACTATGCAATATTTATTTGTGTCCAAACATGACAATGTGCCATTAAACATACACATTTGCAATAGAGCTTTAATATATATTTGGCATATACTGTATATTTAGTATGCAGTGAAGAGTAGATTGAATTCTGTAGGAAACACTGGCCTGAATCTATTTATTACAGTCCATTTTTTGGACTCGTTGCTTCTGAGGAGTCAGGGGTGAGTAAATCCCATGGCGTGAGAGCTGGCGGTCCAGAGGGAGAGGGAGAGGGCAAGGGAATGCCCAGCAGTGAGTGGGTTTCAAGGGCAGACACATGCACCCCTGCTCTATTACATCATGCTTTCTGGGAAACAGAGCAGACACGGGACTCACTGTCCACTGAAAACTCTGTGCGACTCTGTCTCCCTGTGGGATTTCCTGTTTATTTACCCCTCTCTGTGTAAAACACACACACCCTGGTAGAGAACTATGTCACTGCAAACACACATACACACACACATACACACAAAGACACATTCCCAACGTAAGGGACATGGCATATTCTCCCAAATAGTTGTGCTTTAGAACTACATTTCCATGCAAACACATCTGCACAAAGATCTCACATCTACACATCGATAATGCCTCAAATAATAACCACAGGTATTTGCAACTAACAATATAATCTCTGTGGGATTAACAATCCAAATAAAAGATGAATGAATTCAGCCTCCGGCCACACTTACTCAACCTCAATGCCTTCATATTTCAAAAAAGAGATTTATGTCAAACAATCACTGATTTCAGCCCTGGCTGTGGATCCCAGAGGGGACAGTGAAACATTTTGAACAAAAACTCGAAATAAAAAAAACTGAGTTTATGAGTAGATCAGATCAACGACAATCTCCCTTACTCCACTCTGGGTTTTATATTTTCCATTTACAGCTGAAAAAATTCCTGCAACAGTTCATGCCATAGAATTAATTTACAGTTTTCAATGTGTTTTCTTGTATAACAGAATGCACAAGATAAAGTATAATGTATGCTAATATTTCACTTTCATACAGTTGATGCAGTAATATTGTGAAATATTACAATTCAATACAGCTGTTTTCTATTTAAATAATTTAAGTAATAAGTCATTTATTCCTGTGATTGTAATGCTGAATTTTCAGCAGCCATTACTCCAGTCTTCAATGTCACATGATCTTTCAGAAATCATTTATTATGCTGATTTGATTTTTTCAGAATTCATCAGAAAGTTCAATAGCTATTTTTTTAAATAGAAATATTTTGTAACATTATAAATGTCTTTACTGTCACTTTTGATCAATTTAGAGCATCCTTACTAAATCAAAAATATTAATTCTTTAACAAAACTGAAAAATCCAGAGAAAACCAAGAAGAGGGTGAAAAGGCAAACCATGCAACTTACATAATCAATACCGTAAACAAAATGTGATGTTTGTCATGTAATCTGTGCACCTGGCTACAACACCCTACCCCAGCATTTCTGACCGCAGCCCCACCGATCTAAGAGCAAGACCCCCTAGCTGCTTTACATGCAGTCATGTGGCTCTGAAAAGCTTTCATCTGCACGAGCGTCAAGTACTGCGGGCGTCTATAAAGATGGGGGTGAAGTTTCAGTTTCCACAGCTAATTGTGCCGAGTGGAATGATGTGGCTGTTGCTCGTGAAGCTCACTAAACCAGTTATCAAAGGAAATTCTCCTTAGGGAGGACCAGAGAGACATGCTTTGATGATGACTGTATTTATAAACCATTTAAAAAAATCTCTCTTGGGTGGTCTGACAGAAACATCATGTATGGATTACCCGAATTAGACACGTGCATGTGGCATCAAGTGACGGCACAATTCAGTTGTTATGAGTAACAGTATCACTAGCATATTATTAGATAACACAAAAATGAACCAGTGATTACAGTATATCATTATATGAAGTATAGTACAGTGAGTATATCATTATATACTTTTTTAGCTGGAAACCCAATAAATTCATGCAAAATTCAATGAAAAAAAATTAGAATGCACAAATTATTATTATTAATTATGCATGTTAATCTTAAATTATCCTAAATATCATAAATAGTTGAATAACACTGTTAAATATAATCTTTAGCAAATCTGATGAATATCCATGAATTTCCATTTTTCATACTGTAGATTATAATGTTGTGATGACTTGTAGCACATAAAATGATTGATTTTTTTTATTTATTAGGCAAAATATTACAGCATTTTAATATTAGTCTTTTTTGGTTATCAGTCATAACATGAAAATAATTACTGGCTTAATTGCTATCAGTCAGAATTTTAATATTCCTAAATATATTAAATAACCATGTATATATAATTAAAATAGCCTTTCATTTTTATATAATATATATATAATAGATTTTAATTAAACATCGCTCACCAGTTTCTGGAAGAGGTCACCCACACATTGATGGTGGCTCCACTGTTGCACTCTGGGTAACAGGCCATCATAAAAGTCTTTGTGGATCTCGTGGAGCTCAGGCACTTTGAAGAAAATGGTTTCTATCTGCTGGAGGGTTAACATGGGCTGGGAGGTGGTGGCAGCAGCTTTCAGGGGCTTCATGGGCTAAGATAAAAAAAAAAAAAACAGGAGGTCAAAAGGGGGTCCCATTTGTAACCACCTGGGTGGAGTGCAATGTGCAAAGCTCAGCACCACTATAATGGTGATCTTTGACCCTCTTTCATGAGCAATCGTGCAGTAAAACAGACCCAGCAAAGCCTGAAGACTCACCAGTAAGAGCGCCTCCAAGTGGCTCAGATAGGCCTCCTCACTGGCCAGGATCCCTGATAAGACCCATTTCCTCATCTCCAACCCTTTTTCGACATCCAACTCCGACTGGGAATATCCATGATGAACAAACACATTAAGGGTTCAGCCAAAAACACACATTCCTGTCTACAGTCTCTAGGAATTCCTCAGTAATCCTCATAAAACCTAAATCCTATCCCATACAGATTTACAGAGGTCAACCATAGATCACACAATCCCATATACAGATATGAAACACCCCAAAGAATAAAGATAAAGAAAACAAAGGTCAAAAGTTCAGAAAACAAATGTTAAAAGACCCTTAAACCTGAAGTATAAGTAACTACTGACTGAGAATCTAAATGTAGCTATTCGCTTTTTGTATGTTTTTTTTTTGCGATGCGCATGTATAATTACGTTTGCAACATCAACTGATATAGATCAATCTCTAATATGGGCCAATAAATTATATGGAAACAATACATCATGCATCTATAACAATAATTATCTTTACAAAATACAATACTGAGATTTATTTAACGACAAAAACATTTGGGAGAGGTGTGTAAACACTATGACTTCAATGAAGGTTAAAGCTAGTTCTCTGTAACTTAATGTCCCTTACTGATTTAGTGGACTCCAGGGACCCCGAGGAAGGGGGCTCTCTAATAATTCGACCCTTCGTGTGAAGGCGCAGAGAGGAGAGGGAATCATCCGTGTAGGACGCAACATCAGGCTGCATACGATGGTCCTCACCTCGATCGCCATCATAAACATACGCTGGAGGCGGGGTCCCGCTAAATGAGATGTCTGCAAATGAAGAGAAGAGAGAGGTTAGGTTGACTTACAAGTGTAACATATGATGCTTTTAAATCATATCAGTCATTTTAAATTCATGTATTACATATAATTATACACAATATAATAACAGTGCATAATTTATCGTCCATTGCCATTAAGCAGCAAACAACCAAAAATGGGTTTTCAAGTCAAGCTTTCCATCTTAATTTTAAGTGCTTGAAATAATCAATACATCCTTTACCAGAGTATCTCATACATCTCTTATCTCTTAATGTAATCCACACAGAGGACCGAAACCTTAACCAATGCTTTTTCCTCTTCGCAATAAATACCTTGACGTATAATTGAAAGCGACAGATAAAGTCTGCCAAGCGAAGACAACCAAAGCCGTTAGGAATTCATCACCGATTTCAAATTTATTCTTGGAAACATTATCTACCATCTCTCTGAATCACTGCCTCAATTAAGCATCCTGTTCATCATTAATGCATGACGCCGCAACTGAATTATTAAAAATGTGTGTAGTAAAATGCAGTAACTGAATTGTAATTTTTCCTCTGACAATATGAAGACAGATTTGATGTTTTACTTACACAAAGAATGTATAATACACTGTTCAATGTAATATGTAAAGCTGAAATATGTTCCTTTGTTTAAGAGGACTCTGGGAACAAGAGAAGAGTTTTTCACTAAACTTCAGCCAACATTTTCTTCATATAATCTGCTTGCTGCTGTGACAGTCTGAGTATTTGTTCCACACCTCCAGGGAATATCACTGATACTAACCAGGAGACTTAAGTCGAGTCAGTTCTTTATTCCTCAAGCCTGACACAACAAATGAACAATGAAAGACTAGACAACTGCAATCATGACGGAGACCCTCTTTTACTGGCAGTGAAAGGACGATATGAAAGTTAGAATCACAACAGCCACTGGTGGAAATGCGAAACCGAAGTCAAAGCAGTCCATTTAGGAGAAGACTGACAAGACCCCATTGAGCGGAAACTAAACCTCTTAATCACTCAAATAGCAATGAATAATTCAACACCATTGTTCTTGTTTTAATTACCATTGATGAGGATTAAGGGCTATATGGATGAATAGCTGCATTAGTGATGCCATTTTAATATACTGAGCATGTTCAGATTTAAAAATGAGGAGCAGCTGCTGAGCTGAAGTCAAACAAATGCACTTCAGCCTAAATATACAAATCAACTGTGTTTAAAAGAATAGTTCAGTACACACACACACTCACACACTCACTCACTCACACACACACACACACACACACACAATGGTTATCATTTACATCAGCTGTGATTCACAGACTGCAGTGACTTGAGACATGATGAATCTTCACAGACTATCCTGACTATTGTGAGTTATCGCTCTGTCTGTATTTGTAGAACAAGTTGTCTAAACACAGTCATTCATTTCCTGCAGTCTGTGAACAGCTCAGCACCGGTGAGACGTCCAGACGCTAACGTATCGACTATGTGTCCGTCTTATCTGGTTTGCTGATCGGCTCAGTTAAAAAGTCTGATGCTACAGTCAAGAGCTATCTAGATGTACACAAAACATGTGTGCGCACGCACACACACACACACAACCAAGATCATCAATAATGAAATCCACTCATTGATCCCTCACAGCTCTTGCTCTGTACACAGTGCATTTAAACTAATGTTACTTAAGATACTAAAATTTCAGTAGCCAGAAACAATACCATTGAAATTTCATTAACACTTTCGATACCACTGCAAAACAAATATGCTCATGAACATATTTCTTCATAAATTTAGCCTTTAAAAAGGGCACTTGTCAACAGTAACATTAAAGGGGTCCTATTATGCTCTTTAACAAAGTCTTGATTTTGTTTTGGGGGTGTACTAGAACAGGCTCTCATACTAGGTTGTTTGAAAAACACATAATTTTTCACATATTTTACATTATTACAACACCTCTCTCCCCAGTCTGGCATGAACAGCTCGAATAGTTCCTGTATCAAATGAAGGCCCGTCTTCTGAAATACGAAATGTGCTGTGATTGGTTAGCTGGGCCAGTGTGTGTTGTGATTGGCAGCACTCGGTGCCTGGTCGGGAAATGTCATGCCCCTTACCATAGCCGCCTGCAAGCTTCAGAGTAAATATTGCGTCAAAATCAAAGTAATTTGAGCGCGATTTAAACCCGGATGATTGAACCACTCTAAGTTCGTCTGCCTTGGGAAAGCTAGCGTGTCTCCGACATAGTGATAACACTCGTTGCCTTCTCTAGTGCAGCTCAACCAGGTCTCGTCCCATTCGTCGATATTTGTGATATCACAAATCCCGGAAAATATGCGTTGTAGTCCAAAGAGTCGTTCGTTGTAGTTTTTGAAAAGTGATTTCCGTTAAATAAAATATCTCCTTTTGAATTGGACTTTGAGCTTTGTAACTTCGCAGCTCTTTTTTATGGTCAGCATAACAGGACCCCTTTAATAGCATAAATATGATATTATACTAATAATTAACTTATAAAACTTAAGAAATATGGCTCAATAATCAAGAACTAACAGTGCATTTAAATGCAGAGCATTTAATAATAGGTAACGCTGATTATACAAATGCAGTTTCTTACTGTTAACTTCTTTTCTAATACTTTAATGTACATTAAAGTGACACTGAATTGTTAAAAATGTATTAATAGTATTTAGAAATTAACATTAAGATTAACAAAATGCTGAAAAAATTAAACTGAACCTTAAGTGATTATTATTTATGTTTATATAATTCTTCTTATAAAGTTAGTTATTATTATTAATATAAATATAATATTACTATTAACAAATCTTAAAATGTTAATTTTCCTCTAGATCTTTACCACTGTTATTTATTTTAATCATATTTTTTGAAAAAGGTTAAAAAAAGCAAAGGCTTAGCGTTGCCGTAACTGCCAATGTTGCATACAGTTGTTAAGGAGAAGATAAGGCTTTGAATTTCACACTACCTACTAGTTTATACTTCCTCAAACCTACAGGACAGGCCCATACACTCATATCCATCCAGCACAACAACCACTTATATACACAAACAATGTGATTTACATAAAAAGCCCAAAAGACTTTGAAAGATTGAGAGTTTGTTGGCTTTGTGATAATCAGCAGGAAAAGGACATCACCCAGTAGTTCTTCACTAGTCAGAACTGCAGTGTCTAGTGTCTTGGTTCATTCAGCAGTCAACAGGCTTACATGGGATGACATTAAGAGAGGACAAAGATGGGAGCAACTAGGAGTTAAATCACCTCACTGTGAGAGAAACAGTAAAGAGAGGACTCCGGAAACATGGAGGCAGCCCTGCTGAGTGGCCTGGCATGTAGCCTGCTTAAAAAGATAGAATAATAGACAGAGCCTGAACAAATAGAGATCAGGAGAAAAGAGGTAGAGGATTACAGAGAGAGATAGCAAAAGAGTGAGAGAAAGAGGTCTCTGCTGTCCCAATGTAGAAGGAAGAGCCATGCCAAAGGGCAGCGTGTGTTACTTTGTGATTAGCCACTAAAATTGAGCTTATGAGCAAAACAATTCCTGTGGCTAACACCAAGGCCACATAGACTGTGGAAATGGATGTGTTTCATATGAGGACATCCATAAAATCACCCTAATGTTGTTTCTCCTGTGTATGCAAATACACTACTGCTCAAAGATTTCAGCAAATATGCATTAAATTGATCCAAGGTGACAGTATCTATGGTGTTAAAAAATATTTCTATTGCACATAAATTGCACTTTCTACTCATCAAAGAACCCTGAAAACAATTATTAGAGCTTCCACAATAATATTAAGCAGCACAACTGTTTTGAACATTGATAAAGCTGCATATTAGAATGATATGGATTATGTGACACTGAAGATTGGAGTAATGATGCTGAAATTTCAGCTCAAAAACAACAACAAAAATCTTAAAGACCCCAAACTTATAAACAGTACTGTAGTTTTGTAAAGGAAAAAATATAATATGATCCATTTATATTTATTATTCCTTACATATTTTGCTAAAAAATATATGTAATTTGCAATGTGTAGACCACAAAAAACATGGTTTTAAAATTAGCATCCAAAACACCAATCATCCGATGGAATTAGTGTGTGTGTGGAACAGACTCACTGGTCACGGTGACTGTGAATCAGCCATTGAGGAAGTGTGCACGGATGTCTGACCACGAAACTCAACTTTCCAAAGGAAACACACGTTTGAAGCAAGGTCATCTTTCCAACAAAAACACACATTCACACAGAAAGCTAGATAGCTAGATAGATAGATGACAATTAAAAACACTGATATCCCTAATAACAAACACTGTTGCCAACTCTCGCGAGACAAATAAGCAACAGCAGCTTCAAAAACAAGCCCAATATTTTTTGATAATTTATTACCATCAATATAATTTATTATCAATTATTTATTACCAATAAATGAGCCCGCAACATATTAAACTGAAACTACCCTTTTATCTGAAAAGTAAAAACATAAGTTATTTTACAAAAATCAGCAAACTGCAACAAAGTGGGAACAAAACTCATCTCCAATCACCTGTGAGCAGAATAGGATTGGACAGATGGAGGAGAAAAACACAAGAGCTTCAAAGGGGAGCTGTAACATAGCCACATATTTATAGCCTACTAAAATATTGGCTATTCGAACCAAATCTACTCTTTGTGGAAATGGATGTGTTTCATATGAGGACATCCATAAAATCACCCTAATGTTGTTTCTCCTGTGTATGCAAATACACTACTGCTCAAAGATTTCAGCAAATATGCATTAAATTGATCCAAGGTGACAGTATCTATGGTGTTAAAAAATATTTCTATTGCACATAAATTGCACTTTCTACTCATCAAAGAACCCTGAAAACAATTATTAGAGCTTCCACAATAATATTAAGCAGCACAACTGTTTTGAACATTGATAAAGCTGCATATTAGAATGATATGGATTATGTGACACTGAAGATTGGAGTAATGATGCTGAAA